TGGGGCAAAAAAGTATTTAGTCACCACCAATTGTGCAAGTTCTCCCACTTACAAAGATGAGAGAGGCCTGTAATTGGCATCATAGGTAGACCTCAACTATGAGAGACAAAATGAGAAAACAAATTCAGACAATCACATTGGCTGATGTTGGAAAAGCATTTATTTGCAAATTATGATGAAAAATAGTATTTGGTCAATATCAAAAGTTCATCTCAATACTTTGTTATATATCCTTTGTTGGCAATGACAGAGGTCAGACGTTTCCTGTAAGTCTTCACAAGGTTGGCACACACTGTTGCTGGTATGTTGGCCGGTTTCCTCCATTGCAGATCTCCTCTTAGAGCAGTGATGTTTTGGGGCTGTCGCTGGGCAACACGGACTTTCACTCCCTCCAAAGGTTTTCTATGGGGTTGAGATCTGAGACTGGCTAGGCCACTCCAGGACCTTGAAAAATGCTTCTTAGGCCACTCCTTCGTTTGCCCGGGCGGTATTATGCCCTTGCTGATGGAAGAAGGTTTGCACTCAAAATCTCACGAATATATGGCCCATTTCATTTTGTCCTGTACATTGGATCAGTCGTCCTGGTCCCTTTGCGGAGAAACAGCCCCAAAGCATGATGTTGCCACCACCATGCTTCACAGTAGGCATGGTGTTTCTTTGGATGCAACTCAGCATTTTCTCTCCTCCAAACACGACGAGTTGTGTTTCTACCAAACGTTCTATTTTGGTTTCATCTGACCATGCATGACATTCTCCCAATCCTCTTGTGGATCATCCAAATGCTCCTCTAAGCAAACTTCAGACGGGCCCCGGACATGTACTGGCTTAAGCAGGGGGACACGTCTGGCACTGCAGGATCTGAGTCCCCTGGCGCAGCGTAGTGTGTTACTGATGGTAGCCTTTGTTACGTTGGTCCCAGCTCTCTGCAGGTCATTCACTAGGTCCCCCCATGTGGTCCTGGGATTTTTGCTCACCGTTCTTGTGATCATTTTGACCCCACGGGGTGAGATCTGCGTGTGGAGCCCCAGATCGAGGGAGATTATCAGTGGTCTTGTATATCTTCCATTTTCTAATTATTGCTCCCACAGTGGATTTGTTCACACCAAGCTGCTTGCCTATTGCAGATTCAGTCTTCCCAGCCTGGTGCAGGTCTACAATTTTGTTTCTGGTGTCCTTTGACAGCTTTTTGGTCTTCACCATAGTGGAGTTTGGAGTGTGACTGTTTGAGGTTGTGGACAGGTGTCTTTTTATACTGATAACAAGTTCAAACAGGTGCCATTGATACAGGTAATGAGTGCAGGACAGAGGAGCCTCTTAAAGAAGAAGGTACAGGTCTGTGAGAGCCAGGAATCTTGCTTGTTTGTAGGTGACCAAATACTTATTTTCTACCATAATTTGCAAATAAATTCTTTCCAAATCAGCCAATGTGATTGTCTGGATTTTTTTCTCATTTTGTCTCTCATAGTTGAGGTCTACCTATGATGCCAATTACAGGCCTCTCTCATCTTTTTAAGTGGGAGAACTTGCACAATTGGTGGCTGACTAAATACTTTTTTGCCCCACTTTAGGTAGCTGGTTCTGCAGATGCAGGCATTGTGTGCTGTTCCAAAAGTGCCTGCAAGGACCTGCCACCTTATCCAAGGCCAGAATGGCCATTTATTCTCACTCCGTTATGGTCTATGTTCTTCTGGAAATATTTTAGGTAGAGTTGGGGAAGATCAAGCAGTGCAATAACAATAACTGGTTACATCTTGACTACCTTAGTCATGTGAACACCATACAGGTTCTCTATGTGGTGCTCAGAGTCATGAGATGAATGTCAAAAAGACCCCAGTCATTGTCTGGTTAAATTGGACTGGTTGGACAATTGATGACTATTTACCTTGAGATAAATCTGTGCCAGAGTTGTCTATGTGCGCCTTTACCAATCCTCTCTATAGCATAAACATGAAGGATTGGCCAAGCCAAGATAGGCTATATTGTCCCGACCCATCTGAACATCTCTTAAAGTATATCTACCAAGGACCAAAATGTAACATGTCCCTTTGTGTCTACACTAATTTCTCTACTGTACCTATGGGGCAGCCATGGTTGTCACACAGGCTGAACTTTACACATTTTTTCCTCGTTTAGTGGCATGGAAAGTCCTTTCATTTGGAGCTCTCCTAACCTAATGTTGCTTGGTGACTTGCTCAGTCTTCAGAATTTAGAAGCAGGGCATATAAGGAATGGTGGGTGGCTCTTCTAAGTTTTTTGATGAGCAGCAGAGCAGTAGATGCCTCTAAAGTGGTGCCGGGGTGTGCATCCTCTTCAGGGAACAGGGGGGGGGGTTTAGATCTACACCTGGCATTCAGCTATAAGCATGTCTGAACCCAAAACCTCTAATGGAGAAGGGAGGAATCCTGCATTGTACCACCTTCCTTAAAAATGTATATTAACTGCTTGGTGGGAAATGTGTGGACATGGGTCTCCCCACTGAAGTTTAGTTATTTGGAATCTTGCAAAGTGTGGGACCACAGGAGTATCAGGAAATACCAGCACCCTCTACTGATGTTGGATGTTGTGTTACTGAAGGTTTGCATGGGCAGCACAGTGGCTAAGAGGTTAGCACTTCCACCTAGCAGCACTAGGGTCATCAGTTTGAATCCCAACCACAGCACTACCTGCCTGAAGTTTGCATGTTCTCCCTGTGCCTGTGTGGGTTTCCTCTGGGTACTTTGACTTCCTCCCACACTCCAAAGACATGCTGGTAGGTTAATTGTCTCCTGTCTAAATTGTCCCTAGTATGTGTATGTAGGAATGTGAGTTAGGGACCTTAGATTGTACACCCCTTGAGGGTTAGGGACTGATGTGAATGTACAATATATAGGTAAAGCGCAGCATAAATTGATGGCTCTATATAAGTACCTGTAATAAATAAAGTATTTATTTTGTTAAACTTGCATTCCCAGCCAGGACTGCCCTTTTTCCTTTGGGAAGGTGGAAGTTCTCCTGATCCCAAATCTGTGACAGGTACCAGTGGAGAGAGCATGGGCGCTATTGTGGGGCTGTAATCTGGTCAGATTTCCTATGAGGGTGATTTTGTCTCATTGTCTCCATTCTTAGAGAAGTGGAATGTTGAGGAGCCCGATGCAAAAAAATACAGCAGCACCAAGGTGACACTAGGGGGGTTATTTACTAAAACTAGAAGGTGCAAAATCTGGTTCAGCTCTGCATAGAAACCAATCAGCTTCTAGGTTTTAAGCGTGGAAACCTGAAAGTCCCGGAGGCGAGCATGGGAAGAGGCAACAAGGGAATGGAGAGCAGGAGGTCTTGGGAGGAGCGGAGAGGACGGTTTGGGCAACGTTTGCGGATGAGGTTGGTGATGTAGCCGGGGACGATGTTGTGGATGGCTTTGTACATTGTGGTTAATATTTTGAATTGTATACAGTACGTTGGGCTAGTGGAAGCCGGGGATTGGCAGAGAGGGGCAGCAGTCACGGATCAGTTAGTAAGGTGTATTAGTCTAGCAGCAGCATTCATATTAGACTGAAGGGTGGATAACCTGTGTAGGGGTAGGCCAGTGAGGAGGGAGTTGAAGTAGTCAAGGTGGAAAATAACCAAGGAGTGAATAAGCTGTTTTGTGGCAACATTAGTCAGGAAGGGGCAAATTCTGGAAATGTTGTGGAGGTTGAGGCAGCAGGATTTGGCCAGTGATTGGATGTGGGGCCCGAAGGAGAGGTCAGAGTCTAGGATTATGCCTAGCACCATGGCATGTGTGTAGGGACCAATGGTTGTGCAGTTGATCTCAATGGTAAAGTCATGGAGAAGGGAACGGGCAGGAGAAAATATTACAAGCTCAGTTTTAGAAAGATGGAGTTTGAGGAAGTGGTGTGACATCCATATTGATATGTTACTCGGTAAATTTGTGATACGTGAGGAGATTGAGGGGGTGGGTTGAGGAGTCAAGATAGATCTGGGCCTCAACAGCATAGAGGTAATAAATCTCCATCTATGGGTTCAGCATCGACTTTCATGGATCCACGTGGTCTTCGGAGCCTGAAGGGGTTCATTTCTTCACTTAGTGCCCCTCTCTGCTTCCCATAATGCAACAATGGATCAGTTGGTTGAAGGAAGGAAAATGGCATAATGTATGGCCAGCCTTGGTTGCTTTTAAGGCTACTTTCCCACTGATCCGCAGCAAAAATGCATAGGCGGTAGGAGGTTTTTACCGTGCTTTTGCCTCACTTTCTGAGCATTTTTAACCAGTACACGCCCAGCCAATAGCCAAAAATGTACTGCATTTCTGGGTTGGACGCCAAATGGCATCCTCCCGCACATGCGCAGTTTGCGCTCCTGCAGAGCCGTGCAGCGGTGCGATCTGTCACTGGCCGTGTACCTCAGACACGGCCAATGACAGATCTGAGTACCGGCCCCCGTTGCCGGTACCATGTGACCTGCTGTTACCAATCACACTAGGTCACATGACAGTAGTAAACAATGTATAGTTGTATACAATGGATGGCTTCATTCATGCCATCCATTGTATACTAGTGTCTAGCTGTGAATGGTCACAGCTGATCACATGCACATGTCATGTGATTAGCTATGGCCAAATCACAGCTAAGCAAAAAAAACCCTGAATGAATCGATGTCATTCAGGTAAATGCTTGCTTATAGCAAAGTAATTCTTTGCTATAAACAAATTGTGTAAAAAAAAAAAAAAAATACTGATCACTTCCCCCAAAGTAGTACAATGTTACTATGGTAACATTGTACTACTTTGGGCATAGTGAAATATGAAAAAAAAATCTTAAAAAAAAGAAAAAAAATGTATTAAACAATTAAAAATAATGAAAAAAAAAATCTATATATTTTTTTTTTTCATACTGTCACCAGTCAGTGTCCCTGATCACCGCCATGTCAGTTATATGATGACACTGTACTGCACTGGTGACAGTATGTAAAAAAAAAAAAACAGTGAAAATAATTTTTTGCATTTTTTTAATTTTCCGAAAAATTATGACAAAAAAAAATACAACTTCAAAATACTCGCCATGCCTCTTATGAAGTACGTCGGACTGTCTACTCTGCAAAAAGGGATAATTTGGGGATATCTGTACTGTCCTGACATTTGGGGGATATCTGTACTGTCCTGACATTTGAGGGATATCTGTCCTGTTCTGACATTTGGGGGGATATCTGTACTGTCCTGACATTTGGGGGGATATCTGTACTGTCCTGACATTTGGGGGATATCTGTACTGTTCTGACATTTGGGGGATATCTGTACCGTCCTGACATTTGGGGGATATCTGTACTGTCCTGACATTTGAGGGATATCTGTACTGTCCTGACATTTGAGGGATATCTGTACTGTCCTGACATTTGGGGGATATCTGTACTGTTCTGACATTTGGGGGATATCTGTCCTGTTCTGACATTTGGGGGATATCTGTACTGTCCTGACATTTGAGGGATATCTGTACTGTCCTGACATTTGAGGGATATCTGTACTGTTCTGACATTTGGGGGATATCTGTCCTGTTCTGACATTTGGGGGATATCTGTACTGTCCTGACATTTGGGGGATATCTGTACTGTTCTGACATTCTTGGACCTCAAGAAATTAGATTGGCTGTCAGTACTTCAGGATTGATCAATTTTCAGATCTATACCATAGTTTGTGAACTCTATAACTTTCCTACAAACTAAATAATACATCCTAATTTGGGTTATTTTCACCAAAGACATGTAGCAGAATACATCTCGGCCTAAATTTATGAAGAACAATTATTTATTTGCAAACTTTTATAACAGAAACAAAGAAAAACGTGGTTTTTTTTTCAAAATTTTCTGTCTTTTTTTGATAATTTAGCAAAAAATAAAAAACCCGGCGGTGATTAAATACCACCAAAAGAAAGCTCTAGTTGTGTGAAGAAAATGCTAAAATTTTAGTTTGGGTACAATGTTGTATGACCGCGCAATTGTCATTCAAAGTGTGAGAGCGCTGAAACCTGAAAACTGGCCTGGGCAGGAAAGTGTAAAATTGCCCGGTATGGAAATGGTTAAAGGACACATGACTTAGAATCTGCTCCAAAAAACACTTCCCAGAGGCGTTTTTTAGGTGCTATTCAGGTGTTTTCCATTGATTTCAATGGGAAGAGGCGTTCCTGGGGTGTTTTTTTTTTAACTCCCCAAACATGCCCCAAAATGCAGCAAGCGGGAGTTTTTATACCGCACCGCAAGTGCAACGCCTCAGTGTGAACACATACATGGATATACATTCACATACACACATCAAAGCATTTTTCTTGAGCTTTTCAGGCGCTTTTTTTTAACGCAAAACCGCTTCAAAAACTCCTCAGTGTGAAAGTAACCTAACTGTGTTTAAAGGGAGTTTCTTCTTCTGGGCTATCTAATAAAGAAATATTTATTTTTTTCCTTTTTTACTTAAATGTTTTGATAATATTCTATTATCATTATAATACAGAATTATTATACAGGATTTATATAGAGCCAACAGTTTGCGCAGCGCTTTACAATATATAGGGTCGTTGGTTTGAATCCAAGCCACGGCACCACCTGCCTGGAGTTTGTATGTTCTCCCTGTGCCTGCGTGGGTTTCCCCCGGGCACTCCGGTTTCCTCCCACACTCCAAAGACATGCTGGTAGGTGAATTGGCTCCTGTATAAATTGGCCCTAGTATGTGTATGTATGGATGTGAGTTAGGGACCTTAGATTGTACGCCCCTTGAGGGTTAGGGACTGATGTGAATGTACAATATATATGTAAAGTGCTGTGTAAATTGACGGCGCTATATAAGTACCCGAAATAAATAAATATAGGGGGAAGAGTACAATTACAATACAGTTCGATACAGAAGGAATAGGAGGGCCCTGCTCATGGAGCTGTCAATCTAAACAAGGATAGACATTTTGATACAAATATTGGATATAGTTTTTTTTTTCTAGTTTTGTAGTGACAAACTGAGTTCTTTTTTTCCCCATGTGGGGTTGTTCATGATTCAACCTTATTCGGGGGCATTGCTTTTTGTTCTATATAAAAGTATGTACTTGAATATCACATGCTTGTGAACAGTGGCGGACTGACAACTCATGGGGTCACCGGGCAATAGTGGATCATGGGGCCCCTGTGTCATCGCCCACACCCAAAAAAGCCTATGAAAAAGCCAATGAAAAGTACCAGGGGCCCCCTACTGACCCCAGGCCCTCGGGCAGTGCCCGAGTGCTCGAATGGTCAGTCCGCCCCTGCTCATGACATAACATATACAGTATACAGGTTTTGTTTCCCGCGGTCCATTACAGACATGTCTAAAGTCAACCCATATGAGAATTGCTGAATACTTTGGTCCTGAAGTAGCGGACGTTGTCCACGAAACGCATCGACATTGTCCTGCACATATCCTGGAGTTGTTTAACCATTTCAAGTCCGGACACTTTCACCCCCTTCCTGTCCAGGCCAATTTTCAGCTTTCAGCGCTATCACACTTTGAAGGACAATTGCGCGGTCATGCAACACTGTACCCATATGAATTTTTTAGCATTGTTTTGAGACAGATAAAACTTTATTTTGGTGGTATTTATTCACTACTCGGATTGAAATTTTTTTGCTATAGAAATGAAAAAGTCCAAAAAAAATTTTTTTAAAGTGTTTTTCTTATAAAATTTTGCAAATAAGTAATCTTTCTTCATAAATCTTCATAAATAAATAAAAATGTATTCTGATATCTTTTTAGTAAAAAAAAATAACCCAAATTAGTTTATAACCAAAACTTATAATTTTTCAAAACAATGTTTTACATTTTTTTTTTTTATGTGTTTGTTTTTTTTAACATACTGTCACCCTAGCAGTACAGTGTCACCATAGTGGCACTGTACTACTTGTGGGGGGTGATGAAGATTTTTTTTTTTTTTTTTTTACACTGATTGCTTTTACACCCAAAAAAGGCTATAAAAGCAATCATTTCTGTTTCTCTCTGGCTGCATTCCTGCAGCCATTGAGAAATACTGTGAGAGCTGTAATTGGTCACAGCTTGTCACATGGTACAAGGCTGTTATGAATAGCCCTGTACCATGTGACTTCTGTGATCATTCACAGATTTCACAAGTAGTGAGCAATGATGAAGTGACATCTTGTTTACTACTGTTCATGTGATCACTGATTGGCCAATCGGTGATCACATGAATCGGGACCTCACACAGAGGTCCTGTACAGCGATCGCGACACAGTGATCCCAGGGAGTGCGCACAGGCAGTGAACAAGGCTGACATTTAGAAACGTCAACCCGCTTCGGCAGCGCTCCCGTCCGGCCGTTTATCTACATGGGTCGGACGGGAAGTGGTTAAAGCAGAACTTCACTCTCTCAATCAACATGGACTATTTTGAATCCTTATGCTGCTGCCATTAGTACATCGATAGGAAGGTATAGTATATTTAATGTTTTTAAACTTTTTTTTTACATTTCTTTAGTATTTTCCTGGTGTCAGGCCAAGGCCAAAATGATGTCCTACATCTCAGGAGTCTTCATGGGAGGAGGGGCTTTCTCAGCTAAGTACACCCTCCTGCCTGCATGCCTGAGCTAACAGCAGATGGATTCCAAGAAGTGAATGCTACACAAATCATCTGCCCTTACTCAAGATGGCTGCAGCTAAAAATGCTAGGGGGGGGGGGGGAGTTTTAAAAGTGATTTCTCAACAAAATAAAGCTTTTGAGACATGGATGGATGGGGGAGTTTGCTGTGAATATTTCAGTTTTTGCTACTCAGATTCAGTTTAGTTCTGCTTTAAATACAATTTAAAATGTCAACTGATGTGGTCGGCAGGGCAAGGGGTGGGCAGAAGGGACAACTACCCTGGGCACAGCGGAGCAAAGGGGCGGATAATGGACACAGGGAAGTAAGCCCACTGTATGGCATGCATTACCTGTTGGGGTGGAGTGGAGGGGGGGGGGTCACAGTTCTGTATTCTTGCCCTGGGTGATAGCTGGACCCAGGGCTGCTGTTAGAAATCACTGGGCCCCATACAGCCAACCTGACAGCCCCCCCCCCCCCCCCCCCCCCCCCCCTTCCAAAAAAAAAAAACAGTTTACTTTGCTTCAGTGATGAATAAACACAGTAAGTGATGAGTACCGATCACTCATTGTGTTCATTCAGGAATGGAAGGGGCTGGTAAATGTGACATATTAACTGGACCGTTCCCTCACTCTCCATCCTGAAGGATCCTATTGTGTGCTTCCAGCTACCGATGGAAAGGAGAGGAGGGAAGCCAACTGCACTACAGGGTTGGGTGCACACAGGGGGGTGGAGTGTGAAGGGTGCGGTCGGGAGGGGGTTTAGGGCAATTACTGGAACCGATCCCCTGTTTGCCTCTCTGCAGCAGGTGAAAGCCAGCAGGAGGGAGCGGTGAAGAAGCCAGTTGCAGAGAGAGCCATACACAGGATTGGTTCCAGTATTTGCCCCCCATGCTGAGCCGATTCACTCATCTGCCTGGGCACCCCTACTGGCCTGGGCCCCATACAGGAGGACTGATGGTACCCCCTTATCCACGGCCTTGGCTGGACCTATCCTGGTCTGGTAGTAGTGATAGTATATTGAGGTGCTGATGCACAAAACACATTATTAGGCTCAATTCACAAAGCTGGCACACCAGAATAAGGCCTCGTTCACTCAATCTGCGCAGAAAAAACTGATGGAAAAAACGTGCAGATTTCACTTGGCGAGACACAAGATTACATCAGTTTTCATGCGCATTTCAGAGAGTTTTATACACTTTAAGGATTCCTGCGTACATGATATTGGTGTTGTGGTGTGAACAGGATACCTACAAAACAATTGTTTTCTTTGTGCCCTTGCAGAACGCATGCTGAAAAACTCATGCCTCTGCACCACAGTGTGAACGAAGCCTTATGCAGGCCATAGATGGGTCAAAAATTGGCCTATTTTTCGGCAGAAAAAAAAATTGCCCGATTTTCGCTCCGTTAGTGGGTTAATTGGTTGCCCGTTTTTCGGGGTTTTGGCACATTTTTTTTTTTTTATCGGTCAAGTTGGAAAATGCGCAGCCGATTTTGACGATCGGACGATTTTCCCGGCAATGATGTGCAAATCGGCCGATCGTTTTACAGATAAAACATCTGCACATGAGCCGTGACCTGCAAGAAGTAGAAAAAGAAGACAAAGAAAAAGAAGAAAATTAACCACTTGCCTACCAGGCACTTATACCCCCTTATTTACCAGGCCAATTTTCAGCTTTCAGCGCTGCCGCACTTTGATTGACAATTGCGCGCGGTCATGCAACATTGTACCCATATGAAATTTTGATCATTTTTTTTTCACAAATAGAGCTTTCTTTTGGTGGTATTTAATCGCCACTGGGCGCTTTACTTTTTGCGCTATAAATTAAAAAAATGTGCAAAAAATTTGAAAAAAAAAAAAAAGTTTATTTGTTTCTTTTATAAAATTTTTCAAACAGGTATTTTTTCTCCTTCACTGATTTGCGTTGATGAGGCGGCACTGATGGGCACTGATAGGCGGCACTGATGGGCACTGATAGGCAGCACTAAAGGGCACTGATAGGCAGTACTAATGAGGTGGCACGGATAGGCGGCACTGATAGACAGCACTAATTAGGGGTCACGGATAGGCGGCACTGATATGCAGCACTGATAGGCGGCACTGATAGGTGACACTGATGATGGGTACTGATAGACGGCACTGACTGGCATCACTTCTGGGCACTGACTGGCGGCACTGACTGGCACAACCCCTGGGCACTGACTAGTGGCACTGACTGGCAGCACTGCTGGGCTGCACTGGTGGGTGGCACTGGTGGGCAGCACTGGTGGGTGGGCTGCACAGGTGGGTGGCACTGGTGGGCACAGGTGGGTGGCACTGGTGGGCACAGGTGGGTGGCACTGCTGGGGCACATGTAGGTGGCACTTCTGGGCACAGGTAGGTGGCACTGCAGAGTGGCACAGGTGGGTGCACTGCTGGGCACAGGTGGGGGCACTGCTGGGCACAGGTGGGGGCACTGCTGGGAACGGGTGGGGGCGGGGCTAGTGGGCGCACTGCTGGGCGGAACTTGCGGGTGTCACTGCTGGGCACCGATCATCAGGGCACTGATCATCAGTGCCCTGATGATCGGTGCCGATCCCCGCTCTGACAACTGCCGGTTCTCGGCAGTACTTTCCTCACGATCTGACAGTGTGAGGAAAGTGCAGCCGAGAACCGGCACTTGCATTTCCCTGTGATCAGCGTGTCATTGGACACCGCTGATCACGTGGTAAATGGCCGGTGGGATCGGCCTTTCACCACATCACGTGATCAGCTGTGTCCGTAGGACACACAGCGATCACGGAGATCGCCGGGTGCGTGCCCCCTGGGGCACGCAGGAGAGCGCGTTCTGGGAGGACGTCATATGACGTCCACTCAGAACTGGCCGGCCGCGGTGAAGCCGTCATTCGGCTATGCGCGGTCGGCAAGAGGTTAAGAAGAAAAGAAAAAGAAGAAGAAAAAGAAGAACAAGAAGAAGGAGAAAAAGAAAAAAAAGAAGAAGAAGAAGAAGAAGAATTCCAGTCCGCTATTATATTTTATATGAAAAGTCTTGCGGTTGCAACAATGTATCCATTTGTATCCGAATAAAAACATCTGTATCCAAAATGGATACAAATAGATACATTGTTGCAACCGCAAGACTTTTTCATGTAAAATATAATAGCGGAGCTCTCTGCAAGGGACAGAAGTAAAAATGCCGGCCGTAGACGGGACGAAAATCGGCCGATTTTTTTTTTTACCGTTGGTGGTAACGTCTGCCGATTGAACAACTGATTTTTCTTTTTTTTTTTTAAACGGCCGGTTTTCGACCCGTCTATGGCCTGCATAAGGCTACTTATTTTCCCCATAAAAAGTGACAGGTATTTCCAGTTGAATCCAATGAGTTTTAAAAAATAACTGTCACATGGCTCAAAGTTTTTTTTACTTGTATTAATGCTTTGAGAATTGAGCCTTCTGTCTTTTTTTTTTTTTTAATGAGATTGGACAGCCATCCATAATTTTTTTTTTTAGACATAAAAGCTGTCAATAAATACTTTTATGATATGATGTTCATGGTCTCAAGTGCTGGGAACCAAAGTCCTATTCACTAATCCAATATATAATGAGCAGGAGACCTCTTCAAAGACAAAAAAAAAAAAACCCCCACCCCCACATTACTCAGAGGATACTCACAATAAATGCTTCTGCAAGCTGTGTTGTCTTATATTAATAGCTCTTATAAGGGTCTGCTGGCTGTTTTTTACACTTGGCTGACATATGGGAGAGTGGAAGGAGGTGTTGTATATCACACATGTAACTCTGGTGCAATATGGCGTGTTGGAGATATAATAGTCTGCATTTGTTGCTTAGTATCTGAAGTGTCCTTCCCCGCAAGACTGCTAAAAGATCAAAGGCAACCCGTGAAAAGACCTAATACAAGCAACACCATGAGCAAAATATTTGTGAGTCCCGGATATCAAAGTAACAGAAGGGTAGTGACCAGACTGGGGGACTCGGGTCCCACTTCATGTCAGGGACAGAAGGTGCTTACATGCTTATAACATACAGTGGGAAAAAAAAAGTTTGGTGCTTTCATCTTTTTTTTTTTTTTTTTTTTTTTATAGCACATGGTAATTTAGTTTTACATTTATATATTTATGTGTTGGAGAGCGGCATTGATAAAAGCAATGATTTCTGTAGTGTGATAGAAGGACTCCAGAATAAAGTCAAATAAAAATGAAAAACAAACAGCTTTACTAATATTAGGTAAAAATTTGTAAAATATATATTTATACTATATACATATTACTAATTTTTACC